CATACAGCCTCGTCCTCATCGTGACATAAAGACAACCCTCCTCTCAAAATGGTCATCAACAATAACGGCGGTTCTACCATCAACAATCGACCATAACACTCTGAAAACAGCTTTAAAGAGCCTACATACAAACACTGCTAAAACCGCCGCTGAGTCGTACCAGTCGCCGCTATCGCTCGACGGATGGCCTCCTCCAGCACCAATAATAGATCCTTCAGAAGAATCACTTCCAAAGGGCTACCAGACGGACCCTCGCCCAACTCCGATCTGGCCATAGTATTTTTCTAAACAACTACAAAAACAGAATCGACAGTGGGCACATCAACACCTGTCCTTTCTGCACCAATCATACAGATGGTGTTCAACATTCGTTTAGCTGTTCCCAAATCTCCACGGATTTTCATCCAATAGACTTCTGGGGCAACCCTGTTGCAGTGGCGGATTGGCTCCAAACTCGATTGAAATCCTGAAGGCCCCCCGGAAGGGGCAACAACAACTACTACAACAACATGTCGTATGTTATTTTATGTTAATTATGTATATTAATTATGCATATTAATTATGTATATTAATTATGTATATTTGTATACTATGTTTATTTCGTTTATTTAGGCGTTCATTATGTTAATTTTGTGTAATTTGTTGTTGATGGTCTTTTATCAACCTTCCAATTTTATTATCTTTGCATTGCGTGAATTCTTTTGTTGTTTTATTCTCACATATAAAAGCTTCAGGTTAATTGATGTATGCATTCTGTGATGTGAATGAATTTGGAGCGTTGGAAACTATTTTATTTTGGCAGACAGGATCTATACAGTTTTTAAGAACATTTTATGTCATTTATTTTCAAGCGAAACAACAAAGAGTAGATAGTAAACTTGAAAGTTTAAAATAGAATTTAGAATTAAATTAAGGGAGCAATATGAATTGAACTGTAGACAAACTTAGAAAAAAGCTTGAAAAATAACATTAAATTAATTGAAAAATGAGAGATATTTTTAAATGGAAAAATATAAATATATTCTCAATAAAAAGAGAATGAAATACATTTTTACATTTTAATAAAGTTTTGAAAATTTCTGAAAAAAATTCAAACTTCTTCAACGAAAAGTATGAAAAAGAAATAAATCTTTAAAGCATGCAAATACGGTAACGTTCGGACTCCGAAGTGCAATAAATTTACAACAACTTCTACCTCTTCTACTATAACAACATAATAAAATAAACAAGCCATATTAATATTAGTAATAATAACAACATAAGCAAAAGTATTAATAATAATAACAATAATAACAAATTAAAAAAAATAATAAAAAGCATTATCATGAAAAAGGTGCAAAGTATATAAATAAAACAAACAAACAATAAAAACAAACATGAACTTGAAAAAAAATTACTTGCACATCGCTCTTACACACATACACACTCAAACACCATACACACATATATGTACATTCTAACATTGACCCGAAAAACACATAGACCCAAAATAGACAAACACATGTACATACAAAAACACACATTCACACAGACACACACACACGCGAAATGGAAAAAATAGAAAAAGATTTTTCCTGCTCGACCGCATCACAACGCATGGCTGCGCTCCAGTAAATAATTCTGTTATGGCCTTAACACGTTACTACGCCGTATTCCCGGGACTATTTCCTGCTACATTTCATAATAATTTCGTTTTTCTATTTTTCACATCGTTTCTGTCCCTTCGTCACTGTCGTTATCTTTGTTCATGGGTGTGTTTTTGTTTTTGTTATTATGATCTATGGTCTTTTTGTTGTTTTTCTGCTAGTTGACCTAGTTAGCATTTGTTTTGTTACTTTTTATGTTTTTTTGTTTTTCATTGTTTGTTAGTTTGTTGTTATCTGTTGGTATTTTTTAATTCTTTTTATCATTTGTATGTTTATTTGTTTATTCATTCAATTGTTCCTTTGTTTGTATGTATGTATGTATGTATGTAAGTATGAATGTATGTATGTATGTATGAATGAATGTTTGTTTATTCATTCATTTGTTCATTCGTTCATTTATTTATTCATCTATTAATTGATTTAATTAATTAATCATTTATTTGTGAAACCTGTTTCGTGTTGAAATGTGCTTGCTGCTTTTGTCATATGGGTGGTTCCGCCGTGATGTAACGCAAGTCATTGTGGTCGTTGTTTTGTTGTCTCCGTAATGGATCAACTATAATAATTGTTATTTTTATCATTACAACAAATGGCCTTATTATAATTATTATTATCATTTATTATTATTATTTATTATTATCATTTATTATTATTTATATTCTTAATAATATTTTAGTAACACAGTTATAGCTATTATTGTTAGCACTGTTGTTATTTTTCAGAAGTAATAATTCTTGTTATTAAATTGATGCAATGCCGGGGCATTTTTATTAATCGATATTTATTTTATTTTTTTTATAAAATTTGTTTCTTGCCTAAGAATGCGACAGTCCTGGAATCTGGAATCAGACGTTAGAGATTCGGTAAAAAATGATCCCTGACTCCCAAAAGGAGTTTTGTGAAAAAATATTTCAGTTGAATATTTTTAACAACACGCTAAAATGTGAAATCTTGTAAACTTTCTCGAATCATGTGTTTACTTATTTTTTGCACGTGTTTGCAGCCGGATCACGTGATACATCGACGCTGTTAAAATCATGAAGCGCCAATCTGTTAATGTTTTTAGGTGTTGTTTCTAATTTAAAATCAAAAATTATTCATCCCTAAAACTAACAACAACTTACCGCGCAAATAACGGTGAACACTGAAAATATTAGAAGAAAGATTCTCTTAAACGGACAGATTCTCCTCAAAGATATATTTATTCATTTACATAGACGCGTAATTAATTATTGTACAAGTAGCAGATCAAATTTTTTAGCAACACTAAAAATAACATAACGGTATTTTGTAATCGTATATCTGTCGTTAAACTATAATTTTAATCGAAATTCAATTTTAGTTAAATTTGAAAAAATTTGGTTTCTGAGATTTAGTTGAGGATGGAGCTTGACTGAAATAAATTTAATTAATGTGAGCCCGCTTGTACGTTGGATCCGGGTCGGATACCACAAATCTCGATGCTTGAGATCCGTCCATTCCCAATAAGTATCAATTTTTGATTAGTTGTTGCTGCAAAACTATCAAATCATTTCGTGATGGCTTTCGTAATCAACTTTATAATTTACATCATTACATTATTCAAATACTATTAGCGAGACTGGAAGTTTTTTTTGGCAGTAGCACATAATTTGGTATTATTATTTTTAAATTAATGTTGAAGGTAGCTCTTTCTCATTTGCGTATGCTTCAGAGGTTTCAACGACAAATACACACTGCGTATATGAATACGCGTGAAACCCACACATCATACACATTGCATATGATAGGCGGAGATCTTTGTGTTTCTTAAAAATTATAATTATTAATAGTAGTAGTATACCCGCATTGTTTGTAGTAATAATAGTATTAATAGTTGCAATATAAAAAGCTGCTGTAGCAGTAGTAGTAGCAGCAGGAACTGCAGTAGTAGTAGGAATTGTAGTAGTAACCCGACAATAAAAGCGATATTTCGTCGAAGTAATTGAATTTAATGGGAGTTTTCAACGCGTTCGTTCGCTAAAAATGAAATTTTCAAAGCTAGGTTAGCCAATGGAGGATGGTGTTTTGAATAATTCATCGGTGTTTTATTGAATGAGCTTCAAAATCAATTCATTCAATCAATCAATCATTTTTCAAGCTTTAAGCAAAATTTATTCTGTGTTGGTACGTACAATGTTTGTTTGGTTATTGTTGATGTTGATAACGATGATGACGATGATCTCCACAGAGAAATTCTTTATCTTATTGAACACACATGCATGCATGCGTCGTCATCCAGTTGAATAAGTGTGAAGATAATGATGATTATGAGGATGATGTGATGAGGATGATGTGATGAGGATGATGTGATGAGGATGATGTGATGAGGATGATGTGATGAGGATGACAGTAATGATGACAATGATGGCGATGAATATGGTGATGATGAAAATGATGGTTACGAAGACGATGATGATAATTACTTAAATATTTGATCGGATGGTGGAGATAAGCGATGGAATGACGATGAAAATGCTGATGGAAATGATGATTTTGTGATGAACAGATTAGCAAACAAACTAACGTAAAAGTGAAGAAGTTATGTAAATTAAATTGGCAAAAATATATGCACAAAGCTTGTTGACTGACTTTGGTATTATTACATTAGTGTGGGCACTGAGGTCGACCTACGTATAAACAGGTTTTATTGCTTATTGGTCGAATAAGTCCCCATTTCCACTGAGCGTCCTTACATGGTGTCAATTTTACAGAATGAATAAATGACAAACAATAAACAAGACACTGCGAAAATTTTAAAAATATGTAAAAAAATTGTTATATAAAACCATAGTAAAAATGAATATATAAATAATGTATGTATAGATAAATGAACAAATGAATGATTGGTTGAGGAGTTTGTTTTTATAAATAAGTTATAACATAAACATTTTATGTAAAAATTATTATATAAAGCCATTGTAAAATGAATAAATAATTGAATAAATGGATGGATAAATAGAGGAATGAATGAATGAACAAATGAATGATTGGTTGATGGGTTTGTTTTTATAAATAAGTAATAAACCACTTTATAATGGTCACATCATAACCTTTTCATTTCAAAGATCATAGTACAGGTTCAGGTGTTTAAGCATTTTTAATCATTGTAAAATAAATAAAGCATTGTAAATAAATTTAAAATTTTGTTTTTAAATGTATCTTTGGTGAGCCAAACCAAAGATAAATATTTACAATCTTCTAGAATGCTTGTATGTTTGACATGGGTGACATCACATCCCTGTTTTATTTTTAATTTTAAGAACACGTGCAGGAGGGTAAAGATATAACTATCATTGAATCATTGTGGAATAAAATTTTTTTGAAATATTGAAGATGGAAGAGAAGAGTGTTGAAACGAATCAACAATTTGAAATGGAAACCGATGATGCCGTCGATGAACCAGCAAAAATCGCTTTAATTTCCAGTGAAGGCAGTCGCTACGAAGTTGCTAAAGATTTATTACTACAGTTCAGTGATTATTTTCAAGCCCTGACAATCAGTGGAATGAGAGATGCAAACTTTAAAGAACTTACGTTGGAGTGTCTTTCCGATGCAAGTCTACGTGAAGTAAACAACTTTTTGTTGAATTTACAAAGCAACGAGGATCATTTTGGTGCCAGGGACTTGTGCTGTGTGGAAAAAGGTTTGGAGGGCTCATTCTACCTCCAAATTCGAAGCATGACAGATAAATATCTCAATTATTTATCTGGACAATTGAATGAATCAACTTACGAACGCATTTTGCATTTCGCAAAGAAGTTCGCCATGTTTGGAACAATCGAAAAAGTTTTTGCGTTCATTTTTGACAATTTTAGGTGTATTGTTTCAAAATCCGAAATACTATCACTGTCACCAGATGAAATGATACGCTTGGTTGAATCGGATGTTGTAAATGTTGACCGTGAATTTGATATTTTTGATTTGGTTGTAAGATGGACTTCAGCTGACGAATCAAGAAGGCAATACGCAGAACTACTGTTCAGTAAGGTGAGGTACAATTTGATGGCAGTAGACGAAAAAAGGAAGGCCAGTGACCTACTTATTGATTTAAAACTAAAAGTTCAGACAGAATGCTATGGTTTTTGTACAATTGGCACGATAATTGCTTTTGGAGAGCCCACTTTCAAGATAAGTCAATTATTCTTTCATTTATTATCATTTTTTTATTAACAAATATTGTCATTCTACAATTTTTGGCCAATCAATTTGGAGTAAGCAATGTTTATGTAAATTTTTTGAATTTTTATTTTAAAGGATTTATTACGCTCCATGATCCAATCCATCGGGGCCAAAAACTTGTCCGGCGCAAGTATACACCCCTGTCTGACCCTCAGTTGGTCCTGACCACAGTATATTGAAATCAGCAACACACAGTTCACCAGTGCCATGCTATCGAACTTCCTGCCGGCCCATTATGCATATACCGTATCGCGACAAGTCGTTTACCAGGATGGGATCCTTGCACCACCTATTACGCACAGTGAGTAAATGTTTCAAGAGCCGATCCTGGTGGTGTCCCGCAGATCAAGCGGGTTGGCTCCAGCACCGGACCGTAAAGAGGGGTCATAAATAGGGTTGTTCGCCGTAGTCCACTATCACAGCCGGCTGACGATAACCGAGACTGCGAGCTTCTTGTTAACCCGCGCGACGAGTGATGCGGTATGAAGTTTTTTTGGGACGACTCCACGTAGACAATAATTTGGCTGTAGTTGTTCCCAGTTGTTCTCCAGACAAACGTGGGTAGGTAGCAAGCCGAGTAGAGGTTAAAGCAACCATATCGTTTTATTTGCTTGATTTTTTGTTAGGGTTTACTCCCTTAGACTTTCCCTTGAAAGAGTAAAGCAACAAGGCAGCGGAGGTTTGAAATCAAAATTTACCTTCTTCTAGATGGGTAGGTAGCGAACCCCATCAACCCGAAGCGACTAGTTTTTGAGGCGCTAGTTACCCGCCTACGCCCCTTTTTCTGTTAGTTTAAACAGTTTTGCCACGAGAAGGCCAGGAGTTGGACTCTATCCTATCTAAACAAAGGCTATTCTTTTCTTTCTGGTTTGCTGGTTCTCTTACATAAGCGCAACTGCAACAACCTTTTCTTGACAATCCTATATTTTTCTTTTTGTTAATTTTATCTAAGAATGAAATAAAGACAACACACATACATAAATGGATTTTGTATTTTTTTCATAATATTGTAAAATGTTGATTAGTTTATTCAATGGATACAAATGATGAAATTTATTGAATTTAGTTAATAAAATAATGAAATATTTATTTTATAGATGAACGTTGAACAACCCTGGTTTACACTATCTATTTATGACTTATTCAAAACTGTAAACAACGAATCCTTCAAATCTCACGTCATCAATTTCAAAACTAAGCTTCAGGGGCAAAGTTCTCTTTGATTGTTACAGGATATGTACTGTTTGTAACTAAATCTATTTTGCAGGAGGTTATCCCTTAAAGAAAAATTTGTCAGTTTACGAGCCAATCACTTCCAAGTAGTTGCGGGTTTGGCTGATCTTTTCTAAATTTTAAAAATGTTTCTAAACTGGTTCAAAAGTTTTTATAAGTACTAAATTTATTTGAAGAATTAAATCATACCTACAATGCCATTATAAAATTTTCCTAAAAATGTTTTTACCTTTTAAAAATCTGGACTCCAAATTTAAGTACAGAAGTCAAGATTTGGTCAAACTGAGTTTTTGCACAGATTAACTTTGATCGGCTTCTCCCTGCTGACCACTGTTCTTTTAATAAATCCAAGTATTTGATTTACTTTGGCCGCAGCCACAGTACATTGCCTTGATGCTTTTGTGCTTTTATGGACGATGACTACAAGGTCTTTTCTTCTTGCGTTGATTGTAACTAACTGTTCAATTGATAATTGAAGCTTTTTTTTCTTCCCATATGTATAACTGCACATTTATCTGTATTAAACGACATCTGCTAATATTCAGACCATATAATCTTGCCATATCTTGTCATAGTACTTCCGCATCTTTCTCATTATTGGTCTTTGCACACAGCTTCGTGTTGCCAGCAAATTTTGATATATATCTATTGAAATGTAATTCTGATTTTTATTAATAATAATTAAATTGTTGTTAACGATGTGTTATGGTTGGTTTATTGTATGTTTTTGTAAATGTAGCTGGTAAAATTTGTTGTTGTCCATTATTAATATTGACTATTTTCTTATGCACATAAGTTCATTATACTTTATTATATTTCAATTGTATAAATATTTGCTAACAAAATGCTTTTATCAAAAATTTTTATATTCGACACAATTGAAAATTTAGATAAAATAAATAAACAGGATAGTGAAATGTTTGATTGTACAACTGAGCAGTGGACATTCTTATTGAGTATTAAAGTGCCTTTCAACAATCCTCCTTCTACCGTTCTCATCAACAGCTCCCTATATAGTTTTCATTTTGATTACAATAGCTATACTTCACAAAATCATTTGTCTATTCAAACAATCAATTTGAAAAAGTATCTAAATGATAACAAATCCTCATCAAATACACTGTCTGACCTAGCCACGTATGAAAAACTCAAGACTAATGATACTGATGACGAAGGTATTAATAGGAAAGTTGGATACCATATTTGCAAATTTTTTACTCCAAAAGATTTTTTCTTTCACCACGCACGCTGTTTTTATGAATTTTTTGCAATAAAGAATGCCGGCACTAAATGAACTCAATACAACTAATCTAAGAAAAAAAGATGAGACAACTAAACCTCGACTCAATAGGTGCGAAGGCAGTTTTGATCTGTTATGTTTTATTTTAAAACATTATGATCTATGATATACATTTTTTTTTTTTGGACTAAATGTTCTTAACTTCATATTTCCCTTTTCTGCTGTTCCGGTTGATAATAAACAAGTCAAGAACGTTTTTAAATTTATTTTTTTCTTTTAATGTCTTTCAATATTATGTCAATTAATTAAACGATTTACGTGACAAGAAATTTAACAGGTCATGTGACCAGATAACGTTTTTCTTAATTAATTGATTTGACGAAGAAAATTTAGTTAGAATATCAATAAATAAAAAAATATAAAAATAAAATATAATAAATAAATATAATAAATAAATAAAAAGAAGATTTTCTTTGAAAACTGAAGTGAAGAGAAAACACGTTCTTCCTAATTCTTTTAAAGTCGATATTTTGCTTCTAATTAAAAAGGTCAAATTGAAAGACAAAAAAGAAATAGAACTAACAAATGTGCAAATCAAACATCTAGAAGGCAAAAGTAATTGGTTGAACTGGAAATCAAGAGTTTGTATAATAAAACTACGCGGCATTCCTGATGCAATGGACGTAGTAAATGGCAAATTAAAAGGTCCAGCTGAATTAAACGATAACTCAGATTGCCAGGTCACATTGTAAAAAATTGTGAAAATGGCATTCTGTTGGTAAACTAGCAAAACCAAGAAATAACAATCTACGCGATGACATTAAGAGATCACTAGTTGTTATGGAATCAAGTGTTTTTGCAATTGATGAGTCAGCGTACACTGATGAATAGTTTTTTGACTGAAGGAAAGAAACTCATACTTGCACTGTATGTGAGTTGCAGAAACCGATAAAGAAGAACTAAAAAAAATTGAAAGAAACTTAAAGTCAGAGTTCAAGATAGCATCTAAACCTGTAACATATTTTCTTGGATTAGAAATAAATCAAGATGAGAAGGGAAATATTAAAGTCAGTCAGTCATCGTATACAAGAACGATTCTTGAAAAGTTTGGGATGAGCCAGTGTAAACCTTGTACAACTCCGATTACAAAATCTGAGGAGTTCGATGAAAACAAAAATGAACACGAGGAAGAGAAATTTTTTACAGATCAGCAGTTGGTGCATTGATGTACTTGATGACGGGAACAAGACCAGATATTGCATATGCAGTTGGAGTAGCATCTAGAAGTTTGGAAAAACCCAGCAAGCTCAATGTAACACAAGTCAAGCAAATTTTCAGATATTTGCAAGGCACAGCTGATGTCGGTATTGTCAAAACAATACACTTATAGCCTACAGTGATGCAGATCATGGAGGAAATCTAGTGGAAGATCGACATCAGGTGTAATCTGTATGTTTGGAGGAAGCGTGATCAGTTGGTTTAGCCAACGTCAACCCTCAGTTGCGATTTCAACTACCGAAGCAGAAATCGTTGCCGCAAGTGAAGCAGCTCGTGAAGTGATATGGCTTAAACGATTGTTGAACGACATCGTAGATCTAAAGAAAAAGCCAGAAGTTTTTGTCGACAATGAAGCAGCAATTCGTTTAGCACACAATCCAGAACTTCACATAAGAACAAAGCATATCCACATTAGACATTTTTTTTGTCAGAGAAAAGGTTGCAGAAAAAGAAGTTTCAGTTGAGCGAGTTGTGACAGAACTTCAAGTTGCTTATGCTCTGACAAAACCAATGGTAGGACCAAGACTAAAAAATCTGAAGGTGTTATGCTTTATATTTTGTTTTTAAAACATGATATATATCTATTTTTTTGGCTAAATGTTCTTTTGCTTTGTATGTAAATCACTTTCTGTTGTTCCGGTTGATAATCAACGAGTCAAAAACGTTTTTAAGTTTATTTTCTTCTTTTAATGTCTTTCAATATTATATTAATATCAATTAATTGAACGATCTACGTTACAAGAAATTTAACAGTTTATATATATATATAATTGTGGTAGAGAACGATGTCGACGCAACAAGATTTCATCAGTACAGATGCCCTGAAATTTATTGAAGCATCGTTATGTAGCGGTGTGTCGGAATCTTGACTTTCCACTGCAACGCTTAAAATCAGTGCGTCTGTCCAGTCTTGATGCATCCGATATTTTCTTACGACACGGACACGATGTTGGTGCATTACTATGGCTCTGAATTTGTTAAGTGTCCAGTGACGATTGCGCCATTGCACGTAGGCCAGAATAAATAAATAATAAATACACACATAAAAATCAGAGTAGCGAAAAGCTCTGACTCATGAATCTTTATTAGTTCGTCATCAATATTGCGATTAAAACCTTAAGTTAGTTTTCAAATTAGTGGAGTGCATGGCGGGTGATCAACATTGAGACGTCACTAAGATTATTGAATATGATTGGTTGATAACATTACAATCACACACATTGCGTGTGACAAACGAGGATCTCTCTTCGGTCGATCCCGGCCAATGCAACGCAGAACCATAGATGACGGTTTGCAATGATTTAAAGATGACGATAAAATGAAGAAGTATATAATCATAACGATGATGTTATCAGTAATATTTATGATTTTTTAACAGTTTCTAATCATCTTAAAATGTGAATCAAATGGCTTTTAATGTTTTTGTTGTTTTGTAATCCTATTAAGGTGCAGCTGACTGGCTGCTTCAAACAATGTGTTTGTTTCCCATACCATCTGGTGATGGTGACGACGACGACGATGATGGTGGGAATAGTGATGAGGAAGATGATTGTGGAGATTATAATTTATGATGGTGACGATTACGATAGCGATGATTGATAGCTGAAAAAAAATGAAATTAGTGATATTGAAAACTATGACGATGATGAAAAGTATAGCAATGATGATAAGGAAGTAATTGTATCGTACAAATCGTTTCGTTTTTGAATCTTGCTTATACAGCGCTAGCAATAATTTATATGAAAAAGAATTGGAAACACCAGAAATAAAGTATAATTTCAATTCAACGAGATGTGAAACTTGGGAAACACTCCCACTCAACACTTTTTTAAAAGGATCTGCAGAGGCAACATAGTAGGCACACACGGATCACGGACAGGCGCACACACAAACACATTCTTTTATAATACGGTTTCCATCGTTTTTTAGTACAATTGGATTATTATTGAATTTATTTCATTGTTAAAAAATTAGGAATAATTTAAATAAATCAGCAAATTAAATTGTGGTTTGATAATGAAATGAAACAACAAACTGAATGTATGAATAAATGAAAAATGAGAGGACCAAAAAATGTTTGATTGGATAAACTAACTAATGAATTAATTAATAATTATTATTATGTTTATTATTCGTTCTTAAATATTCCACAAAGGTTATGAATTAGATGCTTTATTGAACTAGTGCGTCTTCAATTTTTGTTTAAATTTTTTTACTGGAACAATTTGTCTTGAACACAGCGCAAGATCGTTCCAAATTTTTGGCAAAGCAACCTGCATACATCTATCACCCAGCTTCGTCTTTGTTCTGGAGACTACAATCAATTCAGAGGAGATCGATTGCATGAATAAATGAATGAATGAATGAATAAATGAATGAATGAATGAATGAATGAATGAATGAATGAATGAATGAATGAATGAATGAATGAATGAATGAATGAATGAATGAATGAATGAATGAATGAATGAATGAATGAATGAATGAATGAATGAATGAATGAATGAATGAATGAATGAATGAATGAATGAATGAATGAATGAATGAATGAATGAATGAATGAATGAATGAATGAATGAATGAACTAATAAATAAAACGGAACTAATAAGGAAACAAAACCGGTTCGTAAATACTCATTGATGAAATGGAAGCAGCGCTTTGTATGCATTACAATAAGACACCACACAATGAAATATAAATCATCATGAGTGTTGTTATCGTCATCATCATCAACAACAACAACATTATCATCATCACTATCATTATCATAATCGTCATCATAACTTGAGAGGACCGGCAAATATTTTGGCAGTCTTTGGCCCCCTTCTCAAATTTCAAAATTTTCAAAATTATGGCTCACAGTCAACGTTATCTAGATTAACCCCTGTTATCACAATTACGCTGATGACGATAACGATGATGAAAATTGTGATAAGGAAGATGAAGATGATGCTGATTTCAAGGAAGACGATGATGATGAGGACAATGATTATCGTGATGATGAGGTTGAGGATGGTGATCACAGAAAAAATAAGTGATGCAGTGATGCATGCATGTATACATATTTCAGATAAACTTATATATATATATATATATATATATATATATATATATATATATATATATATATATATCATCTACAAATTCTACCGAATGTTTGGCGTTAATATGTTTGTAGTTCGTAATCAGCCAATTAAGAAACCTGACACCTAATTCGCATCAAAGTTCAATTTTACAACACCAAAGTTAATTTTTACAAGGTCAAAGTTAATCTTGACAAAGTCAATATTTCCCTATATATACAACAAGGAGCACTGACGATGATTCATTCGGGATCGAAATATGGCCTTATTTGCAGCATGAATTCGAAAAATAAGTTTATTTTGAATTTTAATAAACTAAACGTTCACCAAAAAACTTTAGTGAGAAAAATCGAAAAAACGAACTACAAACATATTAACGCCAAACATTCGGTAGAATTTATAGAATATTGTAAAAATTATGACCAACATATATATATATATATATATATATATATATAACAGAATAAAATGGCGTAAAATCGTGGAATAACCAATATATTAAAAAATGAAAGTAAACACACACAAAATTTTCAGCAGAGAAAACAATTAAATTTTTAAATTTAGAAAAAATTTTACGACATTTCAAACATGGGAAGACATTGACTGGTGACAGATGCGTGGATTGAAAAGCGTTAGAAACTGCTCTTTCAACAATCACTCTCCTATCTTCCTCATTTCATCATGTTGCACCCGTATATTCGTTATAAGCTAGTGTTAACCATATATGCGTATAGCCGTACCATGAAGCTAGCCAATATCTAAACTCGCGTACGATTATTTTATTAAACTACAGCTCTTTCTAATTAATATATAGAATTCCGGCATCTTAATATTTAATTTGGCCTTTAGGTAATTAAATTTTTTGGGCCAAATCTCAGTCAATGATAGATAATTATTTTTAGAAAATTTCTCGATGTCGTAAAGATTCCCGACATTTCGATCATTTCTCAACGTTATTCGTGCATTCAAGGCTACTAACTTTATGTCACCAAGTTGTTGTGATTATGTGGTGATGATGATAATAATAGAAATGATATAAACTATAATTTCATATTGTTATAACCGACCCGTTGAACTAGTAGAGTACAGTTACTCCTCTTTACATGGATTCCTGACTACCGACGTAAAACTGCTAATAAAGAGAAAAAATGGATCAATGCAAAGTGAATTTTTGGAAACAATAAAATTGGAACGCGCAGACATATGTATACAAGATACAACCAATAGTAATAACATACTACATTGAAAATAGTAGAGTTACGGAAAAAATACTTTTTATGTATAAGATAAAAATGAATAAAAAATTAGTTTAAAAACTTTGTTTTCTATATCAACAAATCAGTAAAGGATACGATACGACACGATACGAAATATTAAAATTTAAACCTGAAAGTTATCATAGCTGAAAACGCAGTGATATTTCTTAACAATTATAAGATATATTTATAAATATACATGAATGAAAATAATGAGAACCAAAAAATGATTGAATGAATAAAGAAATGAATGAATGGTGTATTTATGTTCAATATATCTCATTTTTCCAAAGATTCCTTCGATCAACCGAGCTCAATTTATTTTTTATCCCGACTACAAAGTTAGCGACGGGTTCCCGCAACTTTGCGGTTCTTGGCCCGGTCGTTTGGAATGGTTTACCTCCTTACTTACGTGACCCTAAGCTATCATATTTACAATTTCGAAGTCAACTTAAAACTTATTTACTTGCACAATGAACGTCTGTCTTATTTGTCTATGATTCAGTAGCGCTTTTGAGTTATAATATATATCCGTAATAATATATATATACATATATATATACAACAAAAAATGACAACCTCACTTCCAACCCGGCGCTTAACCAACAACGAAAACAAAGAAGTAATAAAAACTTGCATCGTAAATAGTGACAAAGAAGAATATGATGCTATCGATGAAGAAAAGGAGACCAAAGAAGATGCCCAGCCAATTAAGAAACCTGACACCTAATTCGCATCAAAGTTCAATTTTACAACACCAAAGTTAATTTTTACAACGTCAAGGTTAATCTTGACAAAGTCAATATTTCCCTATATATACAACAAGGAGCACTGATGATGATTCATTCGGAATCGAAATATGGACTTATTTGTAGCATGAATTCGAAAAATAAGTTTATTTTGAATTTTAATAAACTAAACGTTCACCAAAAAACTTTAGTGAGAAAAATCGAAAAAACGAACTACAAACATATTAACGCCAAACATTCGGTAGAATTTATAGAACATATATATATATATATATAATATATATATATATGTATATAATATATATATATATATATATATAATAGCATGCATACCCTACTACATCACATTATGGGAAAATAGTTCAAAAAACCATCTGAATAATTTAATACTCTCCCACAAAAAAATCAATGCGTTTAATTTTTAACCTCATACCCTCTTCTCATACTAAACCTTTCTTCCTAGCAAAAAAAAATTTACCGCTTAACTTCATCTACCTTTACTGCTCCTTTTTATTCGTTTTTAAATTTATCAACAATTTTCTCCACGTCACTTCATCAACTTCTGCACATTAAGCAACCCCATCCGATCTACAACCACTAGACACACCCCTCTCTTCTAAATCTACAAAACCGCCTTAAATTAATCCAGACAAGAATAAAAAAAGTTGGTCCTAAAATTTGGACAGAACTTGTACCTCCCCATTTAAGAGCCATTATAAACCTACAGCATTTCAAATCAAAATTCCGTGCTTTTTTATTGACACTGGAACTGGACTCCACAACCTATTGCTATATAATGAATATGTGGAAACATATGAAGCGGATGAATAGTATTTATGAATGGTTAAACATTAATATGTTTATACATGTACTGAACAAACATTTATATGATTATATGTTTATATATGCATAACTTGAACATTTATTTATTTATCTTCAATTATCAAATTGCCTCAATTATTTTTCTTATATCGTTTCATTAACTATTCGTTTATCTATGTGCGGTGGCCACCACAAGACATTCAGTCTTATTCGGTCTCCGCATATTCAACCTCATAACTTTTATTCATTTATTTGATATGTTGTTGATTATGAATAAACTTTGAAAATAAAAAATGAAATAGGTTACCGATGCCTTTTTGACCATGTAGATTCAAGTGAACGTTAATGTACTATCATAATTTATAAATATACTATATTTGTCAAATAAAACACTACAGTCTATCATTTTGCACAACGCATATATGGTTAAACGCTTTTTAATCTTTACTATTCAAAAGTAAAGATCTGAATAATTACGACTCCAATTTGTGCATCGTTTCATCGGCTGCTTAGTGTTACAAATGACTGATTTCTTCTATTTGCAAATTTTATAATATTTATGTTTATAGTGCAAAGATGTTCAAGTAATTTAACATTTTAAACATCGTAAAATAAATAAGGCATTGTAAATAAATTTAAAAGAAAATCTTGTAAAGAAAATCTTGTTGTTAAATGTGTCTTTGGGAAAGCTAAAAAAAGATTTACAATCTTTGGGAATGTCTATATAAGGATTCCAACTAACCTGCCAGATTAATGAAGGATATAAATTTGATAAAAATATAAAAAACGGAAGAGATGGATGGTGAAATGAGCAAAAAGCGCAAAATAGAGTCGGTGGAGACGGATGGTGCCGCTGATGACGGGGAGAGTGTTGAAATGAACAAAAAGCTTAAAATGGAGAAAGAAGATGACGTCGATGAATCATCAAAAATAGTTTTAATTTCAAATGAAGGCGGTCGCTTCGAAGTTGATAAAGATTTATTACTTCAGACCAGTGATTATTTTAGAGCCTTGGCGAACAGTGGAATGAGAGATGCACACTCTAAAGAACTTACGTTAGAGTGTCTTTCCGATGCAAGTCTACATGAAGTCAACAATTTTTTATCGAATATACAACTTAATGAAGATTTTTTTTATGCCAGGGACTTGTGTTGTGTGGAAAAAGGTTTAGAGGGCTCATTCTATCTCCAAATTCGGAGCATGACAGATAAATATCTTTTTTTATTCAGTCAACATTTGAATGAATCAACTTACGCAAACATTTTGCAGTTCGCAAACAAGTTCGCCCTGTTTGGAGCAATCGAAAGAGTTTTTGAATTCATTTTTGACAATTTGAAGTGTATTATTTCGAGATCCGAAATACTATCATTGTCGCCAGAAGATATGATTCGCTTGGTTGAATCGGAATTAGTTAATGTTGAACGCGAATTCGATGTTTTTGATATGATTCTAAGGTGGACTTTAGTTGACGAATTGAGAAAACAGTATGCAGAACCACTATTCAGTAAGATAAAGTACAATTTGATGGCGGTGGACAAAAAAAAGAAGGCTAACGACATACTTAATGATTTACAAATAAACCTTCAAACTGAAATCCATGGGTTTCGTACTATTGGCACGATAGTTGCTTTCGGAAAGCCTGATTTCAAAGTATGTCATTTTTCGAATTTTTTCTAATTTTTTATTAATAACAAATATTATCATACTACAATTTCTCCCAATCAAACTGGAGTAAGCAATGTTCCGGTAAATTTTTTAAATTATCATATTAATTGTTTGGTTATGTCTTTTCATGCCAGCGATAGAAATCCATGATTTCAAACAGAAACATCACTTAAGAGTTAAGACAGTTCGTGATGTGGAGTTGTGACAAAACAATCCTCGGATTGTTCATTTCGTCATGCAACTATTACGCATCACTTTTGATATGGTTTTGAATATTTTTGATCAGACAAATTTTTCAGGCACGTGATAGAGACAAAACTTTCACTTACATACATAGAGACTTGACGATTATGATTATGATTATATCATATTGTAATATGTTAACTAATTTATTCTGAGCATAAGTTTGATAGGCTTTGTTAAATTTAATTAATAATTTTGTTAATTATTTCACAGGATAACATACAACAACCTTACTTTTCATCGCTGCCTGTTTACGACTTTTTCAAAACTGTAAACAAGGAAGCCACTGAATCTCCCGTCGTCCATTTCAAAACAACAAATATTCAGCTGCAAAATTTTCGCAAATGGGGTTACAGCGTTTGCACTTTTGATAATGGAATATATTTCGCAGGAGGTTATTGTCCTTTAACCAAAGAAGTTTCAGTGTATAATCCTACCTTTTGCAAGTGGTCACGGGTTAGTCTGATTCATTCGAAATGTTCAAAATGTTTGCAAACTTGTTCAAATGTTATAAATAAAAATCAGGCTTTTGAATCAGTTTAACAAATTTAAGCACACCTACAATTACATTATAAAATTTCAATTCACTTGAATGCGTTGCAAAAGTTTTCATTCATTTATTAAAATTTAACCTTGATGATTACAATTCTTATTAATAAAAATTAAACCATTTATAACAATGGTTTTCACACATCAAACAATATCCAGTTGTCTGATATGCAAGTAGCAAGACATGGTTTCTATTTTGGTGAGATGGGAGGACATTTGTATGCAGTTGCTGGTGAGACTTTTAAAGGCGTGATAACTCGAAAAGTAGAGAGGTACATTCCAGATGAAGACAGATGGTACATAATGGCACCTCTGCCTATTGCTGTCATCATGCTTTCAGGTTTGGTACTTTTGTATTGAAACAACATTTCTTCTCAGTGATAAACAGTTCTAAATAATTTTCATTTGCAGGCACTGCATGCAACGGAATGCTCTATGTCAGTGGGGGGTGGAAAGTACCTGATACTTTAGTCAACCTGGTGTATATGTACAACCCCGCACTTAACCAATGGTCCGAAAAGGCTCCAATGTTGACTGCACGTCATGATCACGTCATGACGTCGGTAGGAAATAAAATTTTCGTCGTGGGAGGGAGATTTTATAAGAACGTAGACGGCGTTATAGTCAGTGAATATGTCATGGTTAGTCCGTTGTTTCGTTTTGTGCATGCGGCTGGTAGCAAGAAGTCGTATATATGCAGTTAAAATTATTTGTTGTTGGTCTCAGGTTTTTTAATGTTGATTGTTACCTCATGCACGTGAGATCGTTATACGTGTTATATTTCAATTTCACAAAAATTTGTTAGACTATTGTTCCCATTAAAATATTTTCAATTTGATTCACTAGAAAATTTGATGAAATATATAAACAGGACGGAGAGATGTTTGATTGCACAACTGATCAGTGGACATCCGTACTGAGAATTAAGGAGCCTTTCAACAAACCTCGTACTAGCGTTCTCATCAACTGCACCCTGTATTGTTTTGGTTTTGATTACGGTAACGAGGGTTCACAAAATTTGTTATCTATACAGGAAATCAATTTGAAAAGGTTTCTGAATGATAACAAGTCATCACCAAATGCACTGTCGGACCTAGCACCGAATGATGAACTCGAGAAAAAAATCTCTAATCGTACTGATGACGAATATATTGATAGTGAAGATTCATGCCATATTCACAAATTTTTTACTTCACACGATCGGTCTATTTACTATGTTGGTCTTATAGACAAGTTGCTTTAAAGTCAAATGAGAGTTATGTCATTAACAAAGATTACTTCGTATATGTTCATCTTCTTTTAATTCATTTCTGTTAATTGCAGAGATTTTTTTACTAATTTAACTTAAGTTTAATTCAAAAAAAGCATGCACGTTGAACATTCACGTGTTATTTTGTACATATCTTGTAAATAAAAATAAATTAATGCATATTTGGTTGCCGACACTTTCAAACGTAATTTATATTTTTATTAAATTCTATAGTTCTTTGTGTGACGAATACATATCTGCCAAAATGTTTTGATTCTGATCTTGCAAAATAAGCCCAAGTGTTTTTATATAGCACGAGATTAAAATTTAAATATTCACAAATTAAACGACAAAAAATAAACATGTTTTCAAATTTAATTGGGAGAGAATTCGCAAATAATAATTAAAAAAACTTCGCCGTAGAGAACATGTGTGATTGTTCTAAAATAATTTGTTGCACCTTGTGTCAAGCTATCATTCTCATCGTCAGCTCTTTGGTTGTGGTCACTTGTCTTATCCTCATGATCATTTTTATACCGAAGGCATTTGCAAGTTCACTTTGCTTTTTTTTGTTCAACTAATGATAAATTATTCAAGTTATATGCAACTCAGTTTTTTAATTTCAACTTTTTTGTTAAATTATTTTAATGAATTAACTGTATTAGTTTTGTAGTTTTCACTCCGAGACCATTTAATATAATTTATTATTCTTTGCTTGATTGACGTCATCGTGTTCAAATTATAACAGCCTAGAACTGCAATAATAATTTGCGGTAGTTATGTGTCCGGCTTGTTACCTGGCAATTACAGCCGCGGTGGTTTTTCTCATCGTCATGATATTCTTCGTCATTATTCCACAAATGTCGCAAACGCGCATGAAAACATGAGCAGAAAAAACCTCGAAATATGAACAACGCAATTTAATCGCGAAAATAAAGAGCGCATCTCAATTTTTGTGTGTGCTGCTTGGCTAGCTTACCAGCCGTTAAAGTTCATTTTAATTAGAATTAATTTTGTTTTTTAGGTAATTTAGTTTTACGCATTTGATTACTTATTTGTGTCGCTAAAAATTTAACGTTTCGTCATTTTTATTATTTGTTATTACATTTTTGTAATTAAAGTAATTATTAAGAAGCTATGGATTCGAAAATGGTGGCATACATGACCTGGGAGCTGTCCAACAAGATTGAGGCCTTAAGTGGCGCTGACGAAATTTATCATTATGACGAAAAACAGCAGAAGGATATTCTGGCCGCCAAACCATGGGAGAAAGAGTTAGTTCCTCTATGTCTAATGCTAATCTGAAGCTTTGTTCACTTTAATAATTAAAAAAATTTCAAGTGTTTTTTGTTTTTTTAATTTTTATTTTTCATTTAATATCTTTTGAATTTTTCAAATTCAAATATAATATTAAATTAAATTTATTTATTGCACAGAAAAATTAATAAGATTTTAGTAAAAAATATTTTACCAAAATAAACTCATCTGAATAAGAAAAAAGTTATCTCCTTTATTAATATTTTAAAATAAATAAATAGTTTATTCTAAGTTTATTCTATTTCAATACACAATGCAGTCCTCACTACTTCAATTCTATAAAAATATCGGCCCTTGCCCTCCTCAAGATGGTGATGCACGCTAGATCCGGGGGCAACCTCGAGGTGATGGGGCTGTTGTTGGGCAAGGTGGACATCAATAACATGATCGTCATGGACAGTTTTGCACTGCCCGTAGAGGGCACAGAAACTCGAGTTAATGCACAGGCACAGGCCTACGAATACATGGCTGCCTACATTGATGCTGCCAAACAAGTAGGCTACAAGATTTCATTCATTTATTTTTCTTTGTATTTATTTTTTGCCATTTTTTTATTTTCATTATCATTTTCTTTTCTTGTCATTGATAATATTGCTATTAATTTATAATTAATTAAGAATGTGTTCTTGTAATAATATAAGGAATATTTTTTTCAATCTTGTTTTTCAAAAAAATTATTTTTTTAAAAAAAGAACGTGCAAACGGTAGCTATAAATTCTATTTTAAAAGTTCAAAACTGAAAATGAAAAATGAATTTTTATTCATATGGAACATTAACAATAAATTTCTAAATAATAGTACAATAATAAACTGTCGTTAATACTAATAACAAATAATGTGAATTATAAGCTTTCAATATATTTCATTTTTTCAAATATATTTTGTCTAATATTTATAAAATAATAAGTTTGCTAAACAGATCTCATTTTTTACTTAATCTCACACACATATATAACATACACATGTACAAACACACGTAACACACACATACACAGGTAGGCAGGTTAGAGAATGCCATAGGCTGGTACCACAGCCATCCAGGTTATGGGTGCTGGCTTTCCGGCATTGATGTAAGCACTCAGATGCTGAACCAACAGTTTCAAGAACCTTTTGTTGCTATCGTTGTTAGTTGCTTGTTCCTCTGTGCGTGCAGTGAAATTAGATGGTAGTGACAGGAATGATTACTTAATTCTTGAATGAATGTTAGTGAGTGACTCTGCTGATGATATGAAGACGAGTTATGGAAACGAGAGGATGCTAATGATAAAAACGATGTCGTTGAAGATGACGATGACTAAAACTCCAGAGGTTGATGTTTATTATAGTGATGGTGAAGATGTTATTATATAGGGTAGGTGAAATGATGGTCACTTTGTTGGAGAAGGGTTAGTGATGATAAATGATGATGATAATGATGATGATGATGATAATGGTGAAAATGAATTCTAAAAATGATGGTGACTTAATTGTACAGATTGACCCAATAAGAACAATTTCAGCTGGCAAGGTGAACCTGGGAGCCTTCAGGACGTATCCAAAGGTTTGGTTCATCGTCAACTTATTTAATGTCTTCTAATACTAATTATTGTTTAATTTGTAATTATCACCGTAATGATTTAATTTTTAAGTCTTTATTAACTGTAATTAGCATTACGTTACTGACAATGATTGCAGTGTTGTACTGAATGATTTCTTCAATTAATTACTGACAGCAGTTTTTTTTTTACTTTGTAACCAATTTTTTGATAATTAATGATTAGTTTTAATAGAAAATTTATAAGGAAATTGCTTCTAATGAACAAAATTCTATAAAATGAATGTTCACAACATTTTGTATGATTGAAAAATATCAACAGGGCTACAAGCCACCTGATGATGGCCCATCCGAGTATCAGTCAATTCCTCTCAACAAGATTGAAGACTTTGGTGTGCACTGCAAACAGTTGGTCACCTACCTATTGCATTAGTTAATTAATTACCATTATTATTTAATTGTAGTGGAAAGCGTTTTCCGCTCGACATGGTTAGGTTGTTATTAACGTTATGTTTGATGTTGATGTAAGGTGTATGGAAGTTTCAAGATGCCTGCCTGTTATATGTGATATTTACTTAATTTTTTTGGGTTTTTGATAATTAATGTCATAATTGTTGATATATTATCTGTGGCGTTTGTTTAGATGGACTGATAACAATTTGATATTCGCATTTGGATTCTCTGCCCATCTTAGGTACTACCCTCTCGATGTATCCTACTTCAAATCCTCTCTGGACAGGCGTTTGTTGGAGATGCTTTGGGACAAGTACTGGGTCAATACGCTGAGTTCCTGCAACCTCCTCACTGTGCGTACTTTTTAAAAATATTTAATTTTTCCATGCATACTACATCTTTTTCTAAATGTCTTTTAGTTATTTTTTAATTTTTGTTAAAAATATCAGTGCTGGCCAGTGTCTAATTATTATCTTCATAGGTTTTATTATCTGTTGTAACTTTCATTCGTTTACATCTTCACTTATTCACCTCCTTATGCACAGAATGCAGATTACACGACAGGTCAGATTTATGATTTGACGGACAAACTGGAGCAGTCGGAGTCATTTCTTGGCAGGGGTCCGTTTGTTGGGGGACCTGAGCAGGTCGCAGCAGATCGCGCAGAAGATAAGTTGACCAAAGCCACTAAGGATAGGTAGGTGGTTTGGATGTCAGAGTGATCTTTAATAAATTTTCGTCAACAACTGAGTGTAACTTTTCAAAATTGGTAAATAATTTATGGTGTTTTTGGTTGTTTGCAGTCAGACAAATGATAACTTTTCATTGAAATATTCTCCATGCAGTTGTAAGAACACCATTGAATCCATACACGGTCTGATGACACAAGTTATCAAAGACAAACTTTTCAACAAGATTAAATTTGTCGATAATTAATTTCTACTGTTATTTAAACGTTTATTCAATAAGTGTCATTTAGATTTCTCCTGTTTTTATTATTATTATCATTATTATTATTATTAGCAAAAAAGTTTGTTCTAAAAATAATTTTTTTTTGTGTTTCTTCTGTTTTATTTACCGTGAAATTGGCGCGTGTCGTGTTCCGTCGTTAAGTCAAGTAAAGGTGCCGTCATTACACGATGGCATGGTTCGAATACTGTCCAAAGCCGTGAGAGTTAGTATACATGTAAGTAGTTCTGGGGTTATAAAAATTAAAAAAATAGCACGAGTGAAATCCACCTCAGTACTCTGTTCTGGTCGCTGGAGCAGGGTCAACCCATTAAGGGATAATTTTTAACATGTCCCAATGGCTGCATCTGATATGTAAGCATTGTTTGATCTTGTCATACCTGACTATTTTATCAATCAATCGATCAATTAGCTTATAAAGCGCTATTTCCGTGATGTTCAACAGCGCTCCTCCATGAATTTTGAAAACAGATGGGTCTTGAGATCCGCTCTGAACTTCGCAAGTGATGGATAAGTAGTCAGAGAAGTAGGTAGAGAGTTCCAAAGAAAAGGACCAGAAAAAGCAAAAGCAGATTTGGCAAAAGAGTGTTTAACACGAGTTAAGAAAAAGCGAGAAGAAGAAGACGATCGTAAACCGGGGCGTTTCGGTTCAATTAATATACCTGATAAATACTTAGGAAATAATTTAGATTGAGACTTATACATGAACGTGCAAATTTTAAAAATTATTCTTTATTTTATAGGTAGCCAGTGCAAGAGAGCAAGATATGGAGATATATGAGAAAAGAAAGGGGCACGAGCAGCAGAGTTAAAAGCTTTACTTAAAGGATAGAGTATAGAGTCAGGAAGACCATAGTAGAGCGAGTTACAATAATCAATCCTAGATAAGACTAACGAAGTAACAAGAAGGAAAAGAGTAGGATCATCAAGAAAAGGCAAAAGTTTTTTTATTCTACGTAGATGAAAGTAAGAGCTTCTAGCAACACTATTAATCTGAGAAGAGAGAGACATAGTAGAATCAAAGATAAAACCTAGACTACGAAACTTATGAGAGACATGAAGAGTTTTATAATCTGGTAAGATAATAGGAGGAATAGTAATAGAGTGTTTAGATTTATTAAAACAAATTAATTCAAACTTAGAAGGATTAAGTTTAAGTTTATTCAGCTTCAAAGATAATTTTGGCAGAACTCCGGGACAAAAATTTGTAAATAATTATTTTCTATTTGATACTTTAATTATGTATGAGGGTAAGGTGTATATTTCCTATGTTTTATTCTATATGTGTGGTTTTATACATACATAATTATATATATAAATATATATATAATCCAATATATATATTCATAAATATATATTTATACATACAATGAATAAAAACAAAGAACTCATAATTTTAAATTAAAATATTGCTTATACTTTTGTCTTTAAATAGCTTTTATATCATCGTTACTAAATTGATTTGTTGATTAAAACAATCATATCTGTGTCGACGATAGTTCGATATTTTATGTTCTAATTTGTTTTTTTCATTTTTTATTTATTTCAACAACGACGATGCATTCGACGAATCGTCAAGATTCGGGCAAATCGACTTTTCCTCAGATCATGGTTTTCCACCCAACAGAAGAGGAGTTCAGTGATTTCGGCAAGTACATTCAGTACATGGAGTCAGTGGGCGCTCACAAGGCTGGCATTGCTAAGGTTGGTTTGGCAGGCGTTGAATTTGTTCGTTTACAATGGGTTTTACTTTTATTTAATTTGTATTTTGAAATTTGATTAAATTTATAATTATAATATATCTGATGCTGATCTAATCTTGATCTCAGATCTGCATCTGCTACTGCTGATTGCCAAATTAAAATAAATTGTGTGCTGTGCTAGTTGCCAGTGCATTTTTGCCAGGAGCCATGTTATAATGTCTATTATAATAATCAATTCAAATCAATGCACTTGGCATCACAATAATTTTTGTTGATGTTATTTATAATCAATAAAATAAATGGCTCAAGTCAAATAATGCTCAATGAATGGTCTAATCTATTGGATCTGGTTTATTTGAAGTTTGGATGTTATAAGTTAAATGTTACTTGAAATAAAAGTTGGCTTTGCAATTCTGATCGTTCATTAATTTTAATTAGATCTCTAAGATAAAATAGTTAATAAAAATAACATTCTTATATCACCATTAAATACAAAAATTGATTTTTCCAACTTCAGGTTGTACCACCAGCCAGTTGGATACCAAGAAGATCAGGCTATGACGACATCGATGTGATGATACCTGGCCCGTTGAAGCAGATCATTAAGGGCGGCCAGGGAAAGTATCAGTGCTCGAACATCAAGCAAGACTCAATGCACGTGAAAGATTTCAAGGCCATGGCTAACAGCAAAAAGTTATTTATTCATTTGTTGTTTTCTTCCATTAGATAGACTTACAACAACAACACACATTTAGACTACATTTTTCCTGAGATTGGGGTTGTTGTTTGGCTATCTATGATGAAACCGAAATACCCTTCGACGCCATTCACATCTGTCACTTGCCTCAGTATCATGCTACCCTGCTTTCACTATGTCCTTCTCCACCTGCTCTCTCTATCCCAATGGCGGACGACCCCTTCCTATCACTCCTTCAACCTCGAACTCCAACACTCGCCTAATCCCTTCCATTAGATAGATTTAGCGACAGAATTGAATTTTTAATTGTTCTGTTTTATTGCAGTTGTTTTTTTTTATTAATCTTATATGCCAATTTAATTAATTTATTCAGGCATGTTATTTAAATGTAATTTTTTTCAATAACTCCTAGATACAGACCTCCAGATTGTGACGGTGACATGGAATCGATTGAAAGAAAATACTGGAAGAATGTGACATTCAACCCTGCCATCTATGGAGCAGACGTATCAGACTCACTGTACGACAAAGACCAGGAACTTTGGAATCCTGCAAAGTTGAAAACCATCTTGGATCATGTTGAAGAGGATTACAATACAACCATCGAAGGTTTGTGTATTGCTGTTGTGGGTGGTTGATGTTGCTGGTCTGCTGTTAACTTCTGTGTTACTTGTATTGTCAATTTTATTTTGTTATGTATTATTATCATCGTAAAATATTATTATTTTTTATTGATTTTATTTGGTGTTGTTTTTTTCTTCTTGGCGGTCGTTCATATTGGCTGCATATTGAAATTTTTAATGGTGGGGCATAAGAATAAGTGACCAGTGAGATTTTTATCATATGTAATCCCTGTTCATATGCTTGGTTTATTAATTTTTTTTATCAAGTTGTTTTTTATTTTCATCATTGTTTCACTTGGAAATTTACATTGAAAATTTCACGTTATTTTTTTTAAAGTTGGGACAAACAACTTTGGATATAATTTATAGGCTGCCAACTACTAAGATTTGACTAACTCTTTCTTACAACTTTAAGATTTATAGGCTGTAATGTAAATGTAAAATGATGAGATGTAACCAAATTGTGAGATATAATTATTGGACTCATGATTGAACGTAAGAAATTATATTGGAACCTTCTCAATCCCAGGTGTGACTTCAACTTACCTGTACTTTGGCATGTGGAAGAGTACATTTGCCTGGCACACTGAAGACATGGATCTCTACTCGATCAATGTTCTCCACTTTGGCGCACCCAAGTTTTGGTACTCCATCCCAACTGAACATGGCAGGAAGCTGGAGAGACTAGCTGCTTGTGAGTTGACTGTGTGATTCTGATGCGGTTCTGATGTTGGGTTTGCTGGGATGTTGATGAAGTAGTTAGTTCTGATGGGGCAATGTTCCTGTTACATATAAGTTGTTAATAGTTATGGTTTACATGATGGCATGTTTATTGTTGTAGTTTAGTGTTTATATTGCATTAATATGGTGAAGTTGTTGGGCAGTTGTTAGTGTTCAACCATGCCAATGTGTTGATGTTGGCAAGAAGTGCTTGCCTGCTTATCTCTGCTTACTAAGGCATTGCTTTGTTTGACTGACATAGTTATGTTGTAGTTGTAGCTTAACTTGATTCACTATTTATAATTATTGCATTTTATTCATTATCTAATTTTTTTATCTTTATTATTGTTATTGCATTTTGTGTAAAGAAAACACACATACACATACACACAAATACACATACATATATGCACATACACTCACAAATACACACACTCTATGCAATCTCTCTAGCATACTTCCCGGACGATGCCAACACATGTGCCAACTTCTTGAGACACAAGTCTACACTCATCTCTCCAACGGCTCTCAGACTCAACAACATACCATATAACAAGGTTGGTTGTTTGTTATAATGAGGTTGTTTGTTATAATGAGGTTGTTTATTATAATGAGGTTGTTTGTTATAATGAGGTTGTTTGTTATAATGAGGTTGTTTGTTATAATGAGGTTGTTTGTTATAATGAGGTTGTTTGTTATAATGAGGTTGTTCTTTATAATGAGGTTGTTTGTTATAATGAGGTTGTTTGTTATAATGAGGTTGTTTGTTATAATGAGGTTGTTCTTTATAATGAGGTTGTTTGTTATAATGAGGTTGTTTGTTATAATGAGGTTGTTCTTTATAATGAGGTTGTTCTTTATAATGAGGTTGATTGTTAAACGAGGCTTTTAGTATACCATGTTTGTTTAATATGACATGTTTGTTTGAGGTGAGGTCATTATTGCCTGATTGGACGTGGTTGTTTTTTTTATAAACGATGCTTTTTCAAATGAGGAGATGTTTAGTATAAAAAAAGGAAATTATTGCATTATACATACACACATTTCTACTCCATTCACATTGGGTATACACACACACACATCCATACACATGCATTCACACATCCTCTTTTATAATGTACGTAAGTAACTCCACGATGACGTCATTATGTTGACACATCCAACAGATACAGCAAGGACCCAGAGATATCATCATCAGTTTTCCATTTGCTTATCACGCTGGGTTCAACACCGGTCAGTAAGGTGTGGTTTGGTGTGGTGTGGTTTAGTGTGGTGTGGTGTGGTGTAGTGAAAAGATGTTTGTTAATGTTTCTTCATTTGAAAATTATGCATTAATATGATGACTATATTTATAATATTTATAATTCTCATCATCATACTTTAACCTCCTGCTTATTCAATTGGCAGCAATGTTAATTAGTTGAAGTAATAATTTTGCTATAACAATTTAAAATGAGAAAATTATTTCAAATTGTTATTATTTCATATTTATATAAGTTGAATGGATAAATTCCAATAAATATGAAAAGATCACTTCGTATTTTTTTTAGAATTTTATTTATTCAAACTCAACTGTTAAGTTGTTTCATTGCCAGTTGTTAAGAGGAGATTTCCCATTAAAATAAAATATAAATTCATCCAGTCTGCTTGCTCAATGTTTGTTTTTCCGAATGACAACCAAACTGATATTTTTGTTAGGATTTTTAGTGGGGTTTTTCCAACGGTACGATTTATCGTATTCCATCGTATAACATATTTTTTCCAATTAAAAAAAAATTTATAATGAAAATGTTACTTATTTAATGGTGATAATGGTGATTACTTAGGCACTGATCACTATAAAAATTTGTAATTAGTAATGTTAATTCTGTAAGTATTATAATGATGATTATTTAAAATGAACCAGGCTTCAACTGCGCAGAATCGACAAACTTTGCATCTCTCAGATGGATAGAGTACGGAAAGCGAGCTATTCAGGTTCGTACGTTTAAAAACTCCAGTGGAACTATAAACAATATATAGAAGATGTTTTTTAACTTTTGTTTTCGGTGATGCTAAATTTAGAAAAAAAATATATGAACCTAATAATTTTCATGAAAACGCGAAATAAAAAATTTTATAAAGATGTCTGTGTAAGAATTTTAAAATTGTAAATGTGAAGGAGCACAAAACGTTGAAAGAAGCACTGTCACAATGGAAAATTGTTATAAAAATTATTAGATTGTGTAACTGGTAGGAAAGTTATTGGACAAGAGTTTTGTATCGCGTTGAAGAAATTAATAAAGCAAACTTCAACTTTAAAAACTTTTAAAAATAAATCTCGTTCTAAACATGGGCATAATTTTTAAATGGATAAATGATATTCTCTTCAATTCATCTACTCTTTTATTTAAATTTGATTTTTTTTTTGGCGGAGTTAATTAATTTATTGATTTGGATATTCATATGCGAATGTCTCGGTAACATGAGTCGAGTCGGTAACAGTATTCATCATTACTGATGATGCATTAATCCACTCAATCAAAATTATCAGCTTAACTGATATATTGAAATTTATTGATTAAGATATATTAGAATTTATAAAAATATATTTTAATATGTCCTGATAAATTTGCAATCTTCATATTTTATGTTATAATGTACTGCATTGTATTGTATTGTACTGTATTGTATTTTATTGCATTGTATTGTATTGTATTGTTTTGTATTGTATTGTATAATAATGTAATGTAATCTTTGTGACAATTAGAGTTACATACAATTGAAGAATATAGGTTTTGCTACCTGCTCTCATAATGATTTTTATGTTTTGTAATGTTAATGTTATGTTAATGTTACGTTAATGTTATGTTAATGTTACGTTAATGTTATGTTAATGTTATGTTAACGTTACGTTAATGTTATGTTAATGTTATGTATTGTGCTACGTTACATTACTACGTTCACCGGCACAGTGTGACTGTCGTCCGCACATGGTCCGATTCAGCATGAAGTGCTTCGTGAGGAGGTACCAGCCGGATAAGTGGGAACTCTTCCAGAACAACCTTGATATTGCCCCCCACCCGGAAGATGCATTCTGTAATACCAAGAGGTCAGGGGTCAGAGGGATTGCTCTGCAGACCTACGCTGATCCCGATTATATTATAACTGAGTGAGTTCTGTCTTCATTTGCAGGTTGAATTTTATTTTTCGTCATGTGATGAAGTGATCAATGTTCAAGTTAATGAAATTTTTTAGCCCATTAGAGACCCGTGCATATTTCTATTGTGATCACACCGACAAAACTAACCTAAATTAATTTTATACTTTAGAAGGAATAAAAAATCAAAATTCAGAAGCTTTTTTCAGGAATTTTTGTAACTTTTTTTAAATAGGCTGTGCAAACGTACGTACAAACACACACACACACACACACACCACACATACACACTAACGTATGTATGTATACATGAATACAAGTACATACACACATGTGTCTATCTTAATAATAATTTAAATATTTATGTTTCATTTCAAGTGACGAAGAGATGAAAATGAGGAGGATGACCTCCTCTAGAATTCCTTCCAGCAGAATCGATGATGAAGCTGCTGCTGCTGATTATGATGATGATGATGGCGAAGATTTTTATGATGACGATGATTGTGATGACGACGACGATGATGACGTCGATGATGACGACAGCTGTGATGACACTTACACGGGGGAGGGCTACAAATGTAAATCTGCGGCACGTACAAGGAAGAAAGTCTTTGCGTCAAAAAGGCAGAGTGCTGCCAAGATTAATGATAAACATGATAAGGACTGCAATGATGGCGATGAGGCTGCTGATGATGACGACGATGATGAAACTGCAAGTTATAATGACATCTGTGATGATATAGATGGTTTCAACGAAGCCGCGGGGCAGACCACTAACTCCAAGTCATCTGCCATCAATGATGTCTCTAAAGATGATGATGACAGAGATATTATGGATAATAATGGAGATAGGAGGGGCAGGTCTAATGACACGGCGGCTGAACTTTTGGAAAGCAACGTGAATGTCGTGGAATGTAAATCTTCAATTGTGGTGGAACATGGAGTGAAGCGGGAGTCTGCTACTGCTGCTGCTGCTGCTGCTGCTTCTCTTAATGTTGCTTCCGCTGGCAATGTTGCAGCTACTGGGACTGTAAAAAGAAAAATGGAAAGAAAAAAGTCTCTAGGGAAACGTGACCCGATGGAGGAAGATAAGTTTGAGGGCGGTGGTGGTTTCGTTTGTGATGTTCCTGTCCTTCCTTTTTCTTACCATTGTCGCGACGTTCACGTGATAAAGAAGCAAAAAATAACCGTAAATGATAAAGAAATGAAGTCTGCCTACAAAGATACTGCAACCTCGTCTTCCGCTAAGAAGATGACGTCATCGGTCAATGAATATTCACCTCCAGCTGTTGAGACCAAGAAAAAGAATAAATCAACTGCAAAATCTGCCAACAGAAATTTTAACACTCAGGAGGTTGTGACGTCATCACCTGGTTTGAAACAATCATCGGCAAGCAAGTACAAACGTAAGACGCCAATCAGTAAGGCAGCAAAATCACCAACATCAGGCACCACATTTGCAGCTGCTGAGTCAGCGACAACGGAATCAATCTCCAAGGTGACGTGCACAACTTCAAACATTTTTGCTTCAGCTGCAGCAACGACAACAACATCAGCAACAACTACATTACCAACATTAACAACAACAGCTTCAACTCCAGCCACAAACACGTTCAGCAAGAAGCAAACTGCAACAGCTGTATCGTTCCTCAGCTCGTTTGCAACTTTCTTGCAGCAGCAGAAGAGGAGTGACAACAACAACGCCAACAGTAGTAGCAGTAGTAGTAGTTGTCGTGGCACTCATTCATTGTCGTCATCCAGTAATGTCACCACATCTCACGATGTCATAACCAACAACATCAACAACTTTACCTACAACAACAATAATAATAACAACAACAGTACCTACAACAATAACAACAACAGCAACAACACTACCTACAACAACAACAGGAACAATAATAACAACAACAGTAAAATTATTAACAGCTATGTTATCAAAAACATTTCAACTATTACAAATACTAATAGTTCTGCTAATAAAATCAATAACCCCGTCGTTAATAAAAATAATAATGATAATATCACGGTAATTGTCGACCATGGAAAGGGCTCAACTTCAAACTTGCAAAAGGAGAGTAAGGACGTAAAAAATGTCTTCTCCCTGCTTGCCGCCCCATCACCATCTTCATCTTCTTCATCATTTGCTTCTAACTTATTCTTCATTCCCAACGCCAATCTCTCGTTGCTGTCGTCACCATCGTCATCATCTTCAGTAGGTTTGGTGTCATTTTCGTCATCACCATTATCGTTGTCGCTACCCACTCCGCCGCTATTCAGCTCCCCAAAAAAGACGACGTCGTCGTTGTCGTCAACATCACCATCAGTGACGTCACCGTCGCTACCACCACCATCATCGTCGTCGTCGTCATCAATTTATTTGAAGCCATCGCTTTTAGGTAAAATAGCCAAATAGATGGATGAATATAAATAATGCTGTTTACATACTACTGCATAGTATATAATATATAATATAATGCTATATAATATAATAGTATACAATATATAATATAATACTACATAGTGAATAATACTAAGTCCGGCCCATATCTGACGGAGACTATAAGTTATAAGCGAGGATTGATTGATTGATTGATTGATTGATTGATTGATTGATTGATTGATTGATTGATTGATTGATTGATTGATTGATTGATTGATTGATTGATTGATTGATTGATTGATTGATTGATTGATTGATTGATTGATCGATCGATTGATTGATTGATCTATCGATTGATTGATTGATTGATTGATTGATTGATTGATAGTGTGTAATACTGGCTACTGATATTAATACTACTAGTACGTGTGAATGTTTATTATGATATTATTATTATTATTTTCGTTACACTACCATTATTACTATAATTGTTTTTCATCTCAATAAAAATTGTCACCATTATTTTTATTATTATTATTATTATTACCACTGCTGCAGTTGTCTATTACTACAACATTTCAAATCAATCAATCCTATCCAATCAATCAATCAATCAATGAGAATATATATATATATATATATATATATTTATATATATATATATATATATTTATATATATATATATATATATATTGTGTATATATGTTATATATTGTGTATAATGTGTATATATATATATATATATATATATATATATATATATATATATCTATATATATATATGTATGTATTATTTTGGGCATAATTTATGTATGTATCTTGGCGGGGAACTTAAATGATTGTATTTGTGTCAAATGTAGTTTGATGAAAAAACACATAAATGCATGTGTGTGTTTCGTGTGTTTTAAAAAACTTAAATTTTTTTATTTATGTACGTGTGTGTGTGCGTGAGTGTGTGTGTGTGTGTTTGTGTTATTTGCGCGCGCAATGTGTACGTCTTAATGGAATTTTTGTTCATATAAATATATTTAGTATATTTACCATTCAGGCAGGCACTTCATTCTGTCTATATGTATAGATATATATGAGTTTACCTATCATCGTACACAATGATTTCATCATCAGTTAGGATTTTTGAGTTTTCGTTTGTTAATTCGCGTTAATCTCATTCAATCGTCATTGTCCTAGTTCAATAAAAAAATAATTTGCTGAGACGTGCATGGTTTTTTTAGTTAGAATAATTATTTTTTCATTGTTTTTCAATTAAATTTGCTCCTAACGTTCTCTTATCCTTACCGTATCGAGTATTTTCTAATTAAATTTTTACTACATATATTTTCAGAACCTAAGCTGTCAAGTCGTCACTTATGATTCTTCGGCGAACCCGTAAATTCTGAAAAATATTGTAGTACGATTTTATATTGGGGCATGGTTTTACACAATATAGAAATCAGTTTATTCTCTTAAGATTGTTCTGTTCATTCGTTAGTTTGTTCATTAATTTAATTAAAATTAAATTATTTACATTTTAGTAAAATATTTTTACCGAATTAGAGTTTTTTTTGCAGAAAAATCAACGAATGAATTTGAATGACACACTACACTGTTATTTTTTATAATGTCTTGATGTGCACGATGTTTATTGTATGTCGGGTTTACAGTTAAGAATACTTCACACAATATCAATTTTAATACAGTAATAAATAAATTTTCAACAATTAAATAAAATTTTCTTGCATGGTAGCTTAAAATCGTTTGGTTGGTTTTTGTCTTTTGGAAATTTAAATATAAGAATTTGTTTTTAATCTTTTCATATAATTCAATAATGATGAATTTTGTAGTAATTGTCGATTCTACGTTCTTACGTTTATTGTTGAACAGTTTTTAGACTATCATGTTTCCATGTTTGTTTTTTATCAATTAGTAATAAATCGAACTTTCATCTTCATATTTGTTCATATTGACGTGTATACATTTAGTTTATTTAGTTTATTGTTTATCGGTGTACGTTGTAATATCGTACATTAATTTACAATGATACATCGCGTCATGTTTGGCGGTTAGACGATACTCGTTCGAATATTTTTTGAAGAATTCATGATATTAAACCGATTGATATGCTTGGAAACAACCGATGTAAAACGTAAAGAAAATAGTTCATCTGTATCTTTATTCAAAGATTCGGAAATACTCTCCAACTGGTGAAAACAGCTGTCGGTCGATATGAATTCTTGCGGAATAACAATCTCCTCAGCTTATGGTTTGGATTTTGTTCCTAGATGTTTTAAATACTGTTGATCAGTGTTAATGGAACATTTTTGTTTTGGTTTACCAGACCTTGAAATTATTAGCGATGGATAATTTGATTGCTTTGATTGCTTGAACACAGTTTGTGTTTTTCTGCAATCACCGTTTTCTAACAAAAAAATTTATTTGGTTTTTTTGTGTATCGATGAACTTTTTCTAGTTCGCGAGTAGATCTATTTATTTCATAGCAATCGATGTCAAACCATGGTTTAGAACGAACTTGTTTTGTTGGCTGACGGGGAATTTTTCAAGTTTTAATTTCATAGTATATCAGCAATTATTGAATTCCAACTCGCTGCTATCATTGGTTTGACACAATTTAATGATTTTTTAGGTTTTTTATTTATTTCATTTTATATATTCAAAATTTATTTAAAACCAGGCTAATACAAATAGAGAAAAGAGCAATTAAATGTATTTCGGAGACCAAATAAGAAAAACTACTTGTAAAGGCCATTGTGTTAACATTAACCGTACATGAGGAAAGTAATTCAGAGTGGTTTTCAGAATGTCAACATTTGTTTACAAGTCAATCCACGGTCTAGCTCCATCATATTTGTCTGATGAGTTCAAAAAAAGATTTTCAAAAACACCTGGAGCACATTTATATCTGATGTTTCAAACCTGCTGTTAATCGCGATCATAAGGCCATTAAAATATATTCAATCTTGGAAGAAGCACAAATAAAAATATTTGACTCCGGCCATTGAAAACAACGTCGGTTCCTAGTCCTTTTCCGGTGAAAACCTTGAACCTCTGAATTAATCTACATGACTCCGTATAGACATTCACGTGACCGACAAATTTCAGCGTGGTACGCTCGGGTGGTTGTGCCATATCGTTTTTACGAAATCATATGTGCATCACTCAAGAGATTCATTTTATGAATGATATATGACCAACTTTCATAGACGGCAAAAGCTTTATCGCCTCCAAAAACCCACTGAATTTAAAGTATAACTTATAACGATTGAAACCCCCATAGGTCTATCATCAACCGGAGCGTCAGCGTCGTAGGGATTAAGTAACGACAATGTAGAGGTTACGGACAAATTTTCTTAAAGGTCTAAAGATATATTGGTTTTCTTAATTGAAATATACAAATCTTAAATGTTCGTATAAAAAATATTATAGAAATTGATTACATTACACGAGTTTGAACAAGTCACAAATTACTTGATAAAAGATATTTCATAGAATAATAGACCAAACAGACCATACAACATATAATTTATCGTAAATTGTCAAATATTTAACTACAAGCAATAAATCAATTCCCCTTCAAATGCATAACGAGACAGACTAGTAGGTAACATATTTGAATGTGTGAATTTTATACATAATTCTAATGTAACTGTCAAAATTTTATGCTAAAGCATTCTCATAAAACAACGGGTGTGATCACTGGCTTTTGGTGCAAAGACCAGACATTGTAGCTTTCCTAGAATCCAAGCCTGTTCCTACAACCAATGGTCGTTTGAAATGATTACGAAAAATTAAGACGGATGGGTTATTTCTATTTTGTTGCTTCCAAATATCTGACCCATATTTTTGTCAATTTTAAATTAGCTTGTCACCAGTGGAACTTGTCTGTGTGGAGGCTTAAAATTGTTACAAAAAAAGATGGTGATAAATTAGTTTTTGTTATCAAACAATTTTTAGCAAATTTTGCATTGAAAGCCCGTAGTTCTACGCAGTGGCGCAACTGGGGGGGGGCATTGGAGGCAATTGCTTTCCAGAAATATAAAAAAAATTATTAAAAGATTCGGTCAAGGGTTAAAAATTAGTTCAAAATATATATAAAATGAATTTATTAAAAAAAAAACGGTTTTTTGCAACTATTACAAACGTACGTTCTTTGTAATTATAAAGATAAATATTCTTAGTAGGCTGGGTAAGTATAGTATAGTTACCATTAATTGATTATCTTTCATGATTTTCAAGACGCAAGTAACACAGAAAAACATACAAAATTAAAATTTATTTACACTGTTTTTGGAAACCTATCCAAGATCACAAACGTTAATATCAGTCGTATCATCAGAACTGTATAAAAGTTTCAAAATATTTTTTGAGGCATTATGAGCAAAGGTCTAGTGGTATTGAAAAGCAATTGCATAATGGGTGGCAAAAGCAGATTGAAGAAAGCCGCAGACGGTTAATACCTATTGTAGAAACAGTGCATCATTGTGGAAAGCAAGAAATTGCTTTACATGGTCATCGCGATTCAGGACCACTTTCCACCGAAGAGAAGAAACAGATGAGAACGATGGAAATTTCAGAGCATGCCTAAGGCTACGTTTATTAGCTGGCGATGGAAATCTAAAATGGCATCTGCAAACAAATTCAAGTTTACAAACCTATCTAAGTTGGAAGATATAAAATGAAATTATAGGAACAACTCATTATTTAATGAGGAAAATTTTGTAAATAACGTCAATGCTGCTGGATTTTTTTTTGCTCTGTGATGGAACTACTGATTTTTCTAATGGAGAACAGATGACAATTATTTTAAGATTTGTCAAAGATGACTGTATTCATGAATGCTTTATTGGTTTTCAAGAAATTCAAAATACCACAGGTGAAGGCATTGCTAAGATTTTGATTGTAACATTGAAAGAAGCAGGGATTTATATTGAAAAGATGAGAGGTCAAGGATATGACGGATGTGGTTCAATGGCAGGAAAAATAAATGGAGTGCAAGCCCATGTAAGAAACATGTACCCAAAAGCTCTGTACACACATTGTGCATCCAATGATCTAAATCTAGTAATAGCACATGCATCCAAAATTTAAGAAATCGCAAATTGTATAAGTACAATCAAACAGACATTTAACTTTATTCGTGAATAATCAAAGAAAGTTCACGTTTTTCAAAGTAACTATCAGAAACTAATAGAATTATGTGACACACGATGGGTGGAACGTCATAAAGCCACAATAAAATTTATTTATTTATTTGATTTGAAGGATGACCAAAAAAGATAAACTTGTGGATAGGCCACCCTTAACTAAAATTTCTAACTATAGATGTAACAGAAATGTCATGAAATACATACACATAAACTCACGCTCACACATACTTACAAACATGCACCATACTACAATTCATATCA